TGCACTGTCTCTGCAGTTGGGGGTGGAGGGGGGGGCATGCTGAACACACAGGGAGCACAAGAGTCCCTGACCTGCTCCCATGCCCAACCACCCCCTCTCCTACCTGCAGCCTCCTGTGGAAAGAGGAAGTTGCACTCTTCCAGCAAATGGGGGATGCTGAACACACAGTGACCATGAGAATCCCTGCCCTGTCTCCACACCAGTCTGCACCCCCTTTGCAAACACAGGCTCCTGCCTACCTGTGGGAGCTACTGTCACTATGTCACACATGTTTTCAAAGCAGAAGCAAAAGAGTGAGCCCCAACCTGTTTCTTACCATGCCTAGTCCAGCTGCTCCCTTGAGATCTCTGTGCTATATCTGCTGCATAAGTGGGTACCTACAGGATATCTTTTGCCTTGTAACTCACACATGCCTATTGCATTGGACATTCTTTTTCTGCTAAGACAGTGGTCACCAACCAGAAGATGACAGTCAGTATTCCCAGCCTCCCTTCACTTCCCCCACCTGCAACTAGGAGCCTGCCACCCCTCACAAAATTGGATCCAGCGCTGGCTTCTGTGTGTGTGTGGGGCGGGGGAAGGGGTCCTGAAACTTTGCACAAGATCTGGCTTGTCAGGAAATGTGCATGCTGCTCCTCCCCTCCCCACAGCAGTGTGCACACTTTCTTATTTTCCCTTCCATTCCCCCCGCTCCAGGGAGGCAGGGTCCAGGGTGGAGGGGACGGGGGAGGAGGGGAGAGGGCTAAGATGGCAGCAGAGAATCTGGGCTTTGGGTATGAGGAGTGGCTGGATTTCTTAAAGGAGTGGCACATGCGTTTCTTCCAGTACTTCCTGAAGATCCTGCCCAAGAGATACTTGTCCCTGGAAACCCCCAGGTACTGGCAGAGCTGCTCCTGTCCCCTCCCCACTTGTTAGAGACCCACCAGCACCCTGCTTCTGCCCCCTTCCCCCAGCCAGACACCTAGCCCCTGCTTGCTCCAGCACCATACCTACCACACAGATTCGGCACCCTTATCCCACTCACTGGACCCCTCATTTTTGGTCCCACCTCAGAGCCTAGGCAAGACCACAAAATCCACTAACCCTTGGAACCTCAGAAGAGTTAACCCAGGTCTGAAACCTTGACCCTCAGTTCTACCTACCCGCTCCCCGCTCCCCGCACCCCTCATGGGGCTGGAGTGCCAGGGGAGGGAGGTATCTCAGTTGGGGCTACATCAGTGAGGCTTGGGGTTTATTTGAGCATTTTTTTTTAATCTCACTTGTGTGGTCCCTGAGGGTACGTCTACACTACAGCGCTAATTCGAACTAACTTAGTTCGACAGTGGACCCAGAACTTCAGGATGAGGAGGGACACCTTCCTGGAGCTCTGCGAGTGGCTCGCCCCTGCCCTGCAAAGAAGGGACACTCGCATGAGACCCGCCATCCCCCTCCAGAAGCGGGTGGCCATCGCCCTCTGGAAGCTCTCCACGCCGGTCAGTTCCGGAAGGGACATGTAAATTTCACGAGTCGTCGTAGGGAAATCCGCGGGGGATTTAAATATCCCCCGCGGCATTTAAATAAAAATGTCCGCCGCTTTTTTCCGGCTTTTAAAAAAGCCGGAAAAGAGCGTCTACACTGAATAAGACCCTCCGGAAAAGGGCACTTTTTCCGGAGGATCGGGGCCAGTGTAGACGCTCTTTTCCGGCTTTTTTAAAAGCCGGAAAAAAGCGGCGGGCATTTTTATTTAAATGCCGCGGGGGATATTTAAATCCCCCGCGGATTTCCCTACGACAACTCATGAAATTTACATGCCCCTTCCGGAAAAGGGGCCAGTGTAGACGTAGCCAAGGTGTTTAAGTCCTGGCTTCACAAAGCCCTGGTTGGGTTGATTTAATTGGAATTGGTCCTGCCTTGGGCAGAGGGCTGGACTTGATGGCCTTCTAAGGTCTCTTCCAGCTCTATGATTCTATGACAGGATAGACGCAAGGAGTACAGTTCGGAAATGAGGACTGAAAGTATGAGATTAAACAAGGAAGCAGTTGGTTCATGCCTATCTTCTTAGATTTTCTTATTATTTTAAGACAATAATAAGATAATGTATTAAAGTAGAAAAAATGTCCAGTATTTATACTGGATTAGTACTTAGCAATGAAAGGTTAATCGAAATAGTGACTTTTGAGACAAATAATTAAGGTAAGACAGTGAGTTAGCATGGTACGCAGATTTAAGGAAGATGTTTCAGGCATAGTAGATAAGAAGTGCAGAAATATTTGAAACTAAGTAATGATAGTGGATGACTTTTTTCTCCCTTGGGAGAAGGTCTCACTCACCTGTGCGCCTGGGCACCTTGTATTTTTAACATAAAAGGAGATCCTGAGTACAAACACCTTTACTTAACAACTTGAAGAAACTGGGCTTAACAGATTAAAAATGAACAAAATCAATTAAAAAGTATACAGAAAGAAAGAAAACTTATCCATCTGGCATTTGCACTGCCGCCATTTATCCCACCCCAGAGTGTGCACTACTCTGGATTCAGGGTCCCAGACACTTGCTTGCATGGGTGCACTTGAAGGTCTGAAGCTGAAGTGGAGACAGCTCTGTGTAGGTTCTATGTGTGTTAGTCCAAGCTGAGCAGCCAGCTGCAAAATCCCTTTGCCACTGGAGCAGGCTCCACCAAATGCCAGCAGCTCTGATTCCCTGTGCAGATCACCCTGGCTTTCATTGCACCCAGAGCCAGTTTGTCTTTTGTGCTCCGTCCCAGGCAGCACATTTCCAAACAGCCCAGTTACTCACAGTCACCTTCTGTGTAGGCTCTTCCCAACCATAGGCAAAGCCAGGATCTCTCCCCTCCAGGGACAATCAACAGCAGCCCTCAAAGCAGCCTGTTATATCAAAGTCCAAGCAGTAATAGTAAGCTGCTCAGTGACAGGCTCTAGCTACAACACAACAGCTTCTGGCCTAAAAAAAGCTCTACACCAGCAGCTTGGCTCCTCTCTCCAAAAATGAAGCCTAAACTAACTCTCTTTCTGCATAGCCCTGGAAGAGGTACGTTCCCCCTTTTTCCCAAGGGCTCATAGTCTCTAGGGCTAGACTGCAGCAAAAAGGATCCTGCCAATAAAAGTCAGAGGCCCCTTTAATAAGGGACTACAATAGATTATAGGTGTTTCTGTTTTGGGGAGCCAAGTTGAAACACCTCAGAGTTAATTTTCAGATGTTGGTTTTCTTAGCACTTTCTGAGCATGATGGCCTTTTCTGATGTCTTACCCCAAAACTGTTCCTAGTCACATTTCAACATTTAAATTTTCAAAATCTGATACTGACAACTTCTTGGGGAAAAGCCTTGACAATGTCATAACCATTAAAATCATTTAGAATATTGCACAATATCTTTGGGACATTACAATCTGGTGTATTTACAACTAGTCCTGTGAATTATGCATTTACAGAAAGAAAAATATGTCACCATTTTGGAGATAATAGTTTGCTAAAA